AGTGACGAGCGGGGCGGCGGCAGCACGGGCGGACTTGTGGGATGAAGAAGATAAAGAGCGACGTGATTCAGTGAGCGGCCTCTCATTGGCAGAAGTGAGACGAGTGGAAGGCATTCTCAGAGAAAGAGTACAATCCACCAAAGAAGAATAGTAGATGGTTTGATCATAATCTGGAGCTTCGTCATTATAAATAGTACTGATTATAATTCTGATTTGCCGGCGGGGAGGAGAAGAACATGGAGGATTGTACAGTCCTGACTTTTGGCATTTCTCCTTTATCATTTGTTCACAAAGTGTTGCTTCACCATGAAGAGTTTGTCCCACGGGCATCTTGCATTGGAGCGCAGACATCTTTCAAGTCTGCAATTATTCTCCTTTAATTTACTATTTTTTTCTCTCATAATCTGAACCTGTCGAACAAGACGAAGGGGAAGAAGAGATTAGATATGGAAAGTCCCATTTTACCCCTGAACTTAACGTCTGTTTAATGCCAATTTGATGGAAGGACCAATTGTGGAACAAATCTGATAGTCAAGGGCTTGTTTCGTCCAAATTAAAAGACAAGGACTAAATTTGGAAAATCACAATAGTCGGAGGACCATTGCTGGAATTAACTCTTGCAATTTTAACACGATTTGATCCTCCGTTTATTTGATCGTTTGTTGACTGTGATTTTTGAGGATATATATGTAATTTCATGGTCCACGTCGGTTTTTTAAGGTTCCGGTTGGATTTTCAGACTGCACTCTAGTTGAGTTCGTACCAGAGCGAAGAAGACAACGTGTTTCCGAAACGGTGCAACGTCATCCTGGAGGCCTCCATGTGCTCTGACGAGAGCTGCAAGTTCTTCTGGAGATCGTCGATGACGGCGCAGCCGCCGGCGATGATGCAGAATCGTGGCGAATGGTGCAGAATCATGAAATTTACATATATATCCTCAAAGATCACGGTCAACAAACTGTCAAATAGACGGATGACCAAATTGTGTTAAAATTGTAAAATTAAGAACTTAATTGGTTGAAATTAAAAGTCGAGGACCAATTTATGAATTTAGCTATAGTCGAGGAACCATTTTGAGTATTTACTCTAATTATTTTAAATAATTTTTTAAAGGGAAAATGGCACTTTTTCCCCCTTTGTTATATACTTATAGCACTTTTTTCCCCTAAATTATTTAAGTGGCAGTTTTTCCCCCTGATATATTAAATGGACATATTTACCCTTAAAATAAATATTTCATTTATTTTTCTTCTCCAACAAATTATAACCACGATTTGAAAAAATAAAATACATTAAGTGTTAAATTCAGAATATTTTAAAAATAAAAAAATAAAATTTTAAAAGAAAGTTTGAACCAACCATTCAAATTGGATCCAAAATCGTGAACCGACGGTTCAAAATAAAACTCAAATCGCGATTATATATACTTATATGTGAGAGTCAATATAAATGCGGGAAAAAACATACACTATTTGCAAATATTATAATTCTAATTTAAGCTATTGCTAGTAGTTGTTCCGATTTGAACCTCCGGTTCACGATTCAGGATCCATTTTTTTTCCAGTTCACGATTTTAATAAACGGAAACCCAAATATTGGGTTATGTTATGAATCATAATCGAAATTTTTTAATTTGATTGCTATAGTGTTTGGTTCAGTTCAAACCGAACCGTGGTCATCCCTACGTATAAGTAATAATTTGGTGAAGAAGAGAAAAAAATAAAATATTTGTTTTAAGGATAGAAATGTCCATTTAATATTATCAGGGGGAAAAACCACCACTTTTATAATAATTGAGTGGGCAAATGTGAATGCATGAATAACTCAGGGGGAAAAAGTGCTATAAGCATATAACACAGGGGGAAAAAGTGTCATTTTCCCTTTTTTAAATAATTTAGTGACTTGTTTGTACTTTATCCCATATATATATATATATATATATATATATATATATATATATATATATATATATATATATATATATATATATATATATAAAGGTGGGGTGGGGAGTGTAGTTCCGCCCTTGACTGGAGAGGTTCTGTTTATGTTTCTTGGAAGAAGCTAGAAGAACTCTAATCAAGTCAAGAACTTGGAGTTCTTGTTATAACTTAATTGTGTTCTTGTTGTCATCTAACCGCTGGCGCACGTCACCCGCACGGGCGCACCGCGGGATTTCTCCCTGGCGGCGCCGCTCATTTTCAACGCCAAACGTACTCGCCTTCCAACCCAATGCCGCCATCTCTTTCCCGGCGCCGGTTTGGAGGCCGCAGCAGTTCTCACTTCTCTGTGGAGCATTATTACGTACGGGTGGTTGATTGGTGGGGGTGTACGGTGCATTGCGTCTACCTATGTTCTTGCTGCTGTGTTCTTCGGAAACGTTTACGTTTTTTTTGCTGATCAATGTGGGCGGTTGGCGGATCGGAGCAAAATTTATGGCGTTATGTCATGTGTGTGTGTTTTGTCCGAGTTAACTTGCAACCATGTCCGAGTTTCATTTATCGCAACTTAATTAGCTTTTGGAGTTTGTTGGTTGAGGGGGAGAGAGGAGCGATTTGAATAGATATGACGAGATCGTGGATTGCAGATAGAACAAAGTTACCGGAAAGAAGAGGTAGAAAAGAAGGGATTTTAGTTTGGAGATGGAAGCTAGCTAGCTATGGAGAAGTTACCTGCAGGGGCAATGGGAACTGGTGCGAGTTTCGTGTTGAGACTGACTCAGGTCGTCTGCTCCGTCGCCGCGTTAGTAGGATTCTTATATATTTTTTTTTTATGAGGTTTCATTTATTTACAAAAACAGGACCATAAAAATTTAAAAAGGAGCCAGAATGGAATGAAGTTATCTGTATGATTTGTGAAAGTTTCCTATATTGTTTGCCATGCTGCAGCAAATTAAATTGCTTCTTTGTAGAGCAGCATTATATTGTGAAAACAAAAATTCTGACTAAGGCTCTAGCTTAGGATGGCAACGGGGTGGGGAGTATATTCCCCGTCTCCGTCTCTGATAGAAAATTGAAAATAGTTCCCATGTCTATTCCGATGGGGAATTAGGGGGACGGAAATTTCCCATCCTCAATCAACTCTTAATCAAAATCTTAAACTAGTGTAATTTTTAATTTTAAAAATTTAATATATTATTTATTATTTTTAATTATAATAATTATTCGGGGACAGGGCGAGGCGGGGATGCATCCCGTCCCCGACGAGGAATTATTACATACATTTTTCGTTCCTGCCCCGTTTCTCGAATTTTTTTTTACATTCCCGTTCCCGTCCTCGACGTTGGAATTACATCTCTTATTTACTATTCATTAATCAAGCTATTTCTTATTTACTTATTTTCTTATTATTTTTAAATTTGATTTTTTGTATTTAGTAGTATTTTTAATGTAATTTCTAAGTATAAATTTTATATACTAATACAAAAAAAAATTATTAAAAATTAAATTGTAAATAACTTCAAGTAAGGATTGTTAATTGAATTAGATACATAAAATGAGACAAAATGAAGACTTGTTAATTGAATCAGATACATAAAATGAGACAAAATTAGTACTTCTTAATCTCCATGAACTGGTTCCCTATGCAAATAATAAAATGGGACAAAATGAGTATGTACTTCTTAAATCTATGAATTGGTTCACAATGCAAATCATTATAACTGAACCAAATACATTATGACTCTGTTTGGTAAAATATTAGCCTATTAGTCAATTTTGGCTTATTTGGCTCCTATTAATTGTTTGAGTTGTTTTAAAAATCAAAGTGTTTGATTAATTAGCTTTTTGTAATCTCCAAATACTAAAATTCAAAAAGCTACTCAAAGTAACTTTTTCAATTACCTTTTTGAGAAAAGAAATTATTCCAAACAGTTATCAACTAACAACTAATTTATCAAACACCTTTTTACAATTAGCTAATATTATCAACTAGTTATACCCTATAATTAATCCAATCAGCAATAGCTAATTTGAAATGGAATGAGTACTTCTTAATCACAATGAACTGGTTCACAATACAAATACTTATTAATTGAATTAGACACATATACATATACATAAGATGGGATAATCGAAATGAGTACATCTTAAAAAGTTACCATGATCATACAGCTACTAACAACTATATATATATAGGTAATATGTTTTGTACTTGTTACATCCACAGGTTGCAGAGAACACTACCAAACATCAGTATATAACACACAAAGGCTACTGCAGCTGAGATATATTTTAATTTGTGACGTATTACATGTGTATGTTGAATTAACTTCCCATCCATTTGTTTTTGGGCGAGAACCGCCGGCGCACGTCACCCGCACGGCCACACCCACCTTGGAAAATTCCTGGAAAAGATAGTAATGCTCTGATCAAAACCCCTCTGATCTGCAGTTCTCAAACTCAATCTAGATTTGGTTCAAGGGAGTAAGTATGTTATAACTTAATTGTGTTCTTGTTGTCATCTAACCGCCGGCGCACGTCACCCGCACGGGCGCACCGCGGGATTTCTCCCTGGCAGCGCCGCTCATTTTCAAGCCAATGCCGCCATCTCTTTCTTTCCAGGCCACGGAGGCAGTTCTCACTTCTCAGTCGAGCATTACTACGGGTGGTTGATTGGTGGGGGTGTACGGTGCATTGCGTCTACCTGCGTTCTTGCTGGCGTGTTCTTCGGAAACGTTTACGTTTTTTTTTTTTTTTTTTGGCTGATGAATGTTGAAAAATTTTCCGGAATGTGTAAATGTGGGCGGTTGGCGGATGGGAGAAAAATTTATGGCGTTGTGTCATGTGTGTGTGTTTTTTCGGAGTTAACTTGCAACCATATCCGAGTTTCATTTATCGCAACTTAATTAGCTTTTGGAGTTTGTTGGTTGAGGGGAAGAGAGGAGCGGTTTGAATAGATTGACTCATTGACAAGAGCGTGGATTGCAGAAAGAACGAAGTAACCGAAAAGAAGAGATAGAAAAGAAGGGATTTTGGTTTGGAGATCGAAGCTAGCTAGCTATGGAGAACTTACCTGCAGGGGCAATGAGAACTGGTGCGAGTTTCTTGTTGAGAGTGAGTCAGGTCGTCTGCTCCGTCGCCGCCGTGCTATTCATGTGCGCCGCCGCTGGGTTCTACCAATATTCATCCTTTCGGTACCGCCATACCTTCATATATACATACACACCGTTTTGCTTGAATGGGTTTTTTCATTTCTCTGTTTTCTTGCTAATTAAGAAGGGTGTTTTAAATGAGCTCTCTTCATGGGAAGAATTTTAGGATAACTTAGGTTCGATTCTTACAAGTAATGATTCTTCGGGTCAACTCCTAGCTTTGAACGGGGATTACTCGGGTGGATCTGGACCGTTAAACGGACAAAGAAAGATTCGGACGACCTCGTGGTTTACACCTAAAAAAAGAGGGTATTTAATTTGTCTGTTATGTGTTTTGTTAGTAACTAGGGAAACCGGCAGTGTGTGCACAGGGTAAACAATTCTAGGTTGCCTATAGCTGGCCTGACCAATTTGACTGAGGTTACCCCATTGCATGTTTGATCTTGGTTTTGGTTGTCAAATTTCTTGGAGATAATTGCTCTATATATTCTCTCTATCTGTGCATGTATTGGATCTTTCTGCTGAGTGTTCACTAATGGGGTATGTATCAAGATTAGTTCATAATTACTAAGCTATAGTGAATTCAATCACTACTGGAAATCTCGCTGTTTCCATCTAACTATAATGTTGGACGGTATTTTAATAAAAATCTCAACTTTCTGTCACTAAAGATAGGTTGATGGAAAGTTGGTACTTAATTGATAGTTAGTTTGTGTTGTACGTAGTGTTGAAGAGGGACTATATAGAAGTTTGAATTGAAAAGAAATTGAAAGAAGAGGTTAATGCATGCATGAGAGTATCATAGTAAAGTTTGAACTTTTTTGTTGTTGTTTCAAGTGGAATAAAAAAATTGGGCAATTCAAATTAAAAACCTTGATTTACTATGGGGTTATGCACTATTTCATATCATTTTTGGTCAGTTGCATATATAAAACATTTGTAATTGATTTAATTTCCTTCTATATATGATTGCTTGCAGGCTTCTGGTCATTGTGATGGGGGCGCTGATACCCTGGAGCGTCACGATGGCAGTTGTAGACGCTTTCCTCGTCTTCATCCGGGCTCTAGCTCCCCGACCAAGGGTAATTCTGATGGTCGTTATAATCGATTGGGTAAGTGTATTCATTACTAGCAAATTAAATGACAGTTGATGAACACTAACCCCGGTTTTTGGTGAGTACGTTATAACGTTTCCTGTTCTATATCAACAGATACTCGCAATGCTGTCGCTTGCTGCTTCCTGTGCAGCAGCTAGCACAGCAGATTTCCTGTATCCCCGCCACGACAGCTCCAACGATACAACATCGTGGAGCCCTCATTGCATCTCGGCTGTTGTAACCTTGCTGTGTTTTGCATCAATGTGTGGCAATGCTCTCTCCAATATATGGATCCTTCCTAAGCTTTAACTGTCATAGAATGCATTGTCTGTTATTGGAACATTGACAGTACTTAATGATGTGCTAAACCTGTGCATGTTCTATGTTAATGATGTTTTTCGCGGTTTTGAAAGATTGTTTCATCACTGCCATCCTTAGAAATGTGTTATATATGCATTGTTGGTTTAACCATTTATGTAAACAAATCAATGTGTTGATAGAATCTGGTTCTAAACAATCGTCATATACTATTTATTTACTATGTCAGTTACATATACTTTACTTAGCGAACCGACATATATATATATGCAAAAAAATCGATGTATGGTAGTATCTATTTTCTGTAGTAGTGTGACCGTACTTAACTATTTACATATTCTAGCTCTGCCCATATATTGCTTATCATTTATGATTGTGATGTGAACCATGTAGAAATTAAAATTTAAGCCGGAAGGGCATAAATAACAATTGTATTTAACCAAATAACAAGTTGAGCATGTAGGGTTCAAACATAGGTGTTGAGGTTGGGAGGTTAGAGTAAAGACCTAGTTAACACCAACGAACATCCTCTGACTATGTTATTTAGTACCGTCACATTTAATCCTCAACTTTTTTATTCATCATCGTCAATACATCCTCCTATTACAAGTTTCCTTTGTCTTAGCTCATTTTCTCAAGAGTATTTTTTTGTCATTTTACATTGTACCTTATATAACCCTTCTTCCTTCTCAAAGATATTTGTCGTTTTTAGGGACGACAATTTACCCCGTTCTTGACGGGGATATCCCTCCGCGGCCCACTCTGTCCTCAAATAATTAGTATAATTAATATATATATTAAATTAAGACTTAAGTTTTTAGTTTTTAAAATTAAAAATTAAACTAATTTAAAATTTTGATTAAGAATTGACCAGGGACAAGGAATCCCGTCCTAGTCTAATTCTCCGCGAAAACAGAGATGTAGACTATTTTTAATTCCCCTCCGGGAATAGGGATGGAGACAGGGTCAGAGTTTCGGGGACGGGAACATGGAGTATACTCCCCACCCCCGCTCCGCCCTGTTGTCATCCCTAGACTCATTCTTTCGTGCAGCAACTGATGAGAAACCCAAAGCCCTTCCATTGCATAAGCACGCATAATGATCATATTACAACCATTTGATTCGAATCCCATGATTTCAATTACTGCGTTAATCCTATTATGTTCTTGATTCAGGTCAGAAGTTCTTAGGAGAGATTCTGTTGGTATTTTTCGGAAGAAGAAGAAGAAGCTCTGATCTAAAATCGATTAAGAAGTTGGAAAATTCCTGGAAAAGAGAGTAATGCTCTGATCAAAACCCCTCTGCAATATAATTCTCAAACTCAATCGAGATTTGGCTCAAGGTAAGTATATTATAACTTGTGTTCTTGTTGTCATCTAACATTCTCTTCTTGATCTCAAAGGACGTACGCTAATATTAACTCAGTAAATTAAAGACCACTAGACTTAACAGTGTTCCTCCCTAACAATGAGTGATTGTCATGTCTCGATCAACCTCATCTGACCCACCCACTAGCTTGTTGTCACCACTCGGTACCCTTCTCTTTAGCTAACTTTTAGCCCCTTCTACTTGCATAAGGGACATGGTAGACTAGCTAGCTGGCCGGAGTAAGGTCAAGTGTAGTTGTGCACTTGTAGGTTAAGGCCGAGGTTTGAGTTTCAATAATTGTGCCTATTTCACTTTTTAACTTGACTATACAATCGAGGTTTGAGTTTCAATAATTGTGCCTATTTCACTTTTTAACTTGACTATACAATCTTTTATATCTGCACTGACCAAATTATCATTCAGCCTAAACCCCATGACTTCATCAACATATATGTTTTGCATGACTTCAAAATTTCTTGGTCCATAGTTAAAATCCCCAATTCTTATACCATGGACCATAGTTCATAATGCATTGTAGACTCTGATGCATGTTTATATGCTTTATGTTGTGAGTTTTTGTGTTATAAAACTTTGTACTTTAAGAATATGAATTTTGTACTTGAAACAAATTAGTAATTATGTCATATATTATAAATGTTTGTTTTGTGTTATGAAATTCTGTACTTCACGAAAATAAATTATGTATCTCGTCATTTTGATCAAGAGTCTATAATGCTATGCAAACTTGGTCCATGATATAAATTGCCTAAAATCATTTTATATATCAAACTAATAAATAGTATTAGAAAGCTAGTAATAGTACTTTCTTCATGCCTGAAATAAATAAGCAAATCCTTGATGTCTAATCATAAATGACTGCAAATTTTTGTTTTCACTTAAAAAACAATAGTTAAAATACACATTTGATGCATATTGAACAGAAAAGATAGAAAATAACCCAGATTACCATCGGCCGCGAAGAGTTTGAACATCATAAACAAATCATATATAATCACATACATATAAATAAAAAATAAGATTTATAACAGTTTGGCCTATTAGCTCAGCTGGTTAGAGTGTTGTGCTAATAACGTGAAGGTCGCAGGTTCGAGACCTGCATGGGCCATTTATTTTTGATTCATTACTGTCCAAGTCCGCGTCTTACTAAAGTAAGATAAAATAAACCCTAAACCAAATGCAATCGTAATCTTAATTATATTAAAGGTTTAAATTAAACAATTAAACTAACATTATGGCATGACTCTCCCATATAGAAGGTTATAAAATCAAATCTCGGTGAAGGTAGTGTAAAATCGAGTCTCAGTGGAAGGCAATGTAAAATCGAGTCTCAGTGGAAGCAATGTTGACTCTTTGTAGTTTGTGAAAAAATATAATCAAGTCTTAGTGGAGTATAGATGAACAGATACTACAATGTAATAGAGTCAGTAGTACTCCCAAAAAAAAAAAAAAAAAAAAAAAAAAAAACTAACATTTGGCACGACTTTAAATAATACATTATACAAAAATTTGAAAAGCTAATGCAATCTGAAATATTTTATTAAACCCTATATAACCCAACTTTTAATTATAGATTAATTCTGTTAGTTTTCCCAAAATATATTTCAAGTTTGCATTTCTTTTATATTGAAAATTTGAAATACATGTCCAAATTAAATTTTCTCCTGATATATAAAATACAAACATTATTTAAAATATAATTATTTTTAATGGGTATAATTTATATACTATTTAGTTGTAATCATGTAAATGTCTTTATTCTTTTTTTTGAAAACTAAATGTCTTATTCAATTTAATATTACATTTATTTTTAGTGAAATTTACTCAAGTAAGATATTTGGGAGAATAAATTTACTCTTTTAATTTTATGCTTAGCCCTAAATTAATCAATAAATAAAGAATACATTTTCCCTCATAAGTATTATATCTACTATACTAATAAGAACCCAAAAGAGTTAGGCCTATAATGGATAAAAAAAATGACGGTCAAATTTTTTTAATCAAATGAATGGCTCAAATTGATCAGATTTTAATTTTTCTTTAAGATTTCTTAATTTATCGTTAATGAATATGATTATCCGTTAAATTTTCCGTTGAATATTATCTTTTCCGTTAATTTCTGTTAGTTCACCGTTAATTTACTCATTGATTTCAATAAGAAATATCTTAGGTTCGAACATTATTCCAATCAAAGTTGGCATAATTAGTAATATATTTTACTCTTATTAAATTAGTAGTATTGGGACTCGGTCCCCCTGACTCTATTTTGGTTTATCTCTAAATATAACCGCGTTGGTTGCTTTAAAAAAAATTAAATAATAATTTAGTAGCTACAACAAAAAATAATACATATGCATTTCTTTAATTTAGAATTATGTGTCTACAATGCCTTTTTTCAAAAAAAAATTATTCATTATCAATAAATTAAATAAGAGAAATAATTTCATTAGTTATATTGTCTTTATTTTTCTCCAATATAAAAATTCTTTACATTCAAATTCATCAATTGATTATATTCGTTACATTGTCCCTACAGTGTCTTTATTAAAAAAATTTTATTCATTATCAATAAATTAATTAAGAGAAATAATTTTATCAGTTATATTGTCTTTATATTTCTCCAATGTAAAAATACTTTACACTAAAATTCATCAATTAATTATATTCACTACATTGTCTCTTTTTTTTTGGTGCACTATTTTTTTAAATTAAATATCAATGTTATAATACAAAATAATGCTATATATTTATTTACCAAGTATTTTATTAATACCATGAAAAAATTAAAAAAAATATAATTAATAAAGTCAATCATATTAACTATGGGATTTGTTGACAAAGAGAGTATTCAAATCATACAACAAATTGAAGTGGGAACTAACTCGCAATGTCCTTGTTTGACAATCAGCAATTAGCGGATTTGACCAGCGAATTATATCAACGGTTGGTAAAAAAATATTTAAAAAAAAATTAGTTGTTTAGATTAACATGTAAAATGACCTAAGAGTATACATAATAATAATAATAATAATAATAATAATAATAATAATAATAATAATAATAATAATAATAATAATAATAATAATAATAATAATAATAATAATAATAATAATAATTTTTTTAAAAATATATATAATTAAGCCAATCATATTAACTACTTGGGGGTTTATTGACAAAAAGAGTATTCAAATCACACGACAAATTGAAGTGAAAAACTACCTCGCAATGTCCTTGTTTGTCAATCAGCAGTTAGCTCTTCAATATTAGTATATATTTAATATTTTATGCCCTAATTTTTATTTGCTCTCCCTTATGTCTCGTATTTGGTTTCAACCATACCAATACAATTATAATATTGACAATTATAATCAATCTTGACTATATTATCTTGCATTTGTAAACTTAGAATTACATATTTAAATACGCAAATTCAACATTCAATAATTATCTATGCATGAACAATTCCAATACAATCTTGCATTAATATACTTTAAAGTACTTATTTAAAAAAAAAAAAAAAAAAAACATTGGGCATTATCCCAATCGCGCAATGCGCGTAAAAACTAGTATTCCCTTATAAGTAACAAACACTTTATTCTTGATTAGTATTACATTTTCCAGTATAAGTATTACATTTCATATTGACCCGACTTGTCTCACGGAAAAAGATCCGTGAGACGTCTAACTCAAGTTTTTGTCATAAATAAATAGATAAATGGTTAAAGGTTAAATACTTCTCCACGCTATTTCAAGAAAACAATTCAGCCCTTGAACTATATATAGAAGCTTTAAAAACACATCGAACACAACAAAGAAAGTGAAATTGCTACTTTTTTCCTGTAACCTTCCAAACAGTTTTGATATGATAATTTATGTAGAATTTACAGAGATAGCTTGAAACATGTACCATTCACCAATTCACGGCCAAAAAATTTGTTATTGTTTATTTGAACTTTGGAGATAGTAGGTTAGTAGGATTTTGATGGCTTCGTTTTAAAGATTGCACTTATATTTTTTTGTAAGATCTCATTTATTTACAAAAAGGGACCATAAAAAAAAAAAAAAAATTTAAAAAAGGGGCCTAGATGGAATGAAGTTATCTGTAAGATTTGTGAAAGCTTCCTGTAAATTAAATTATTTCTTGGTACTCTCTTTATCTTATTTTACTTCATGTGGCTCAATCTCATGACCTCCTATATGGAAGAGACAATACATGTCATCTGAGCACAATGTGTTTAGTTTGTATTTAGTACGGAGTAGTATTTTTAATGTAATTTCTAAGTATATAAATTTTATATACTAATACAAAAACAAAAAAAACAAAAAAAAAAACTTAATATTATGAAAAATTAAATTGTAAATAACTTCAATTAAGGCTTGTTAATTGAATCAGATACATAAAATGAGACAAAATGAAGGCTTGTTAATTGAATCAGATACATAAAATGGGGCAAAGAGTACTTCTTATTCTCCATGAACTGGTTCCCTATGCAAATAATAAAATGGGACATAATGAGTATGTACTTCTTAATATCTATGAAGTGGTTCACAATGCAAATCATTGTTAATTGAACCAAATACATAATATGAAACAGAATGAGTACTTGTTAATTAATCACTATAAACTGGTTCACAATGTAAATACTTGTTAATTAAACTATACACATATACATAAGATGGGATGGAATGAGTACTTCTTAAAAAATTAGCATGATCATACAGCTAATACCAACTATATATATGTTTTGTATTTGTTACATTCACAGGTTGCAGAGAACACTGCCAAACATCAGTATATAACACACAAATTAAGGCTGCTGCAGCTGAGATATATTTTAATTTGTGAGGTA